TATGTATATGCAAAGTTCTAATATATACATATAAAACAATTTTTATTTAGGAATTTTGTAAAATTATTTTGTAAGAAAAACTATAGAAAGTAATGTAGAACAAAATCTTACTGTGTGTGACTGTAGAGAAAAACCGAGACTTTTAACTGGAGTACAGTAAGAATCATGGAGAGATTTCATGTCATTGAAAAGGGAACCCTAAAAAGTGGGCAGGAGATGATTTAAAATAATAGAGTTTTGAGCCAGAAGGAATCTTGAAGATGCCCCCTGTGGACTCTGTCCCATCCCTTCCCTCCGATCATCCCTCACGTCTCCTCCCAGTGGCACATTTCCTTTAGAAGGGAGTGTACAGGAGCATTTGCCTCCCCTTCCTAAAGACAAGAGGATCTGTCCAGGGTCACCCAGTAAGCCAGAGAAGGCACGGACCAGTCCCAGGAAACCCTGGATACTTCCTCCAGGAAGAAGGGCTTGGCCACCATTGAGCACTGATGGAGTTCGAGTAAGAGTGTGACTGATAAATAGCATGCAGAGTGCTGGTGCAAGAACGTTGTTGAGAGGGCAGTGGGGACATGAACCAGACTGGAGGGGAACAGGCAGAGGGTGGGGTGCAGAAACAGCTGGTGTAGATGAGTCTGAAAAAGTTGGTAAAGTGCTAGCAAGAGAGACAAGGCTGAGGGGATTATGTAATTGAAGTAGAGTTGTCTAAGATTAAGGTAAGATTAAGCAAATGTGTTTAAATGCTACTGGGTGTGAGCCAGCCTCATGGCCTGATAATTAAGAGCCAGGTTCTTCAGCCAGCACACTGGGCTTGATCCTGGTGTCTCTTCTCAGTAGTTGCCAGTGGCCCCAGGCAAGACTTTCACCTGCTCTGTACCTCAGTTTCTTCTCATATAGAACGGATAATCATTCCTACCTCACAGGGCTATCGTGAAGTGCAAATAAACTAATACAATGGAACAGAGCCCAACCTAAATTAAACTAGGCCCATGGGTAATATCAGAAATTATTATGCAGCTAACGGGAGCTATTGAATTCATGGAGGAGAAGACACAGTTAACAGAAGTCTCAGAATGCAGGAAAGGATGCATTTCAGACGCAGGCAGAGCCACTGGCTTTGGATAAGAAGGTGGTGGGCTGCTCTGCTTTAATAAGAGGAAGATGGGAGGGAGGCTGAGTACTTCTATTAACAAATATTTACTGACCCCCCAGAGGCATCATGGCTGATAACAGAAACAAGACCGTCACATGCTTCCACCACAAAGTTACGTTCTAGTGGCGAAGTCAGACAATGCATTTAATAAATGAGCACGGTGATGAAAAGGTTTAAAAGCTGGGGATTCCAAAGGTGGGGGTGAGGAGAGCCACAGTGAGGGCGCGGAAGACAGTGGATAATGTTTTAAATGGATCCTCGGGAAAGATCTCTCTACAAAGGTGCTGTTTGCACAAAGATTTGAAGGAAAGGAAGAGCCCCTGGGAATGTCTACAGGACAAACCATCCAGGGCCCAGGACCACTTAGCACAAAGCCTTGGCCCCAGGTATTCTCGGTGGATATGGGTGGGTGGGCAGTGGGAGTGAGGCTGGATTTCCCTCCTCCCTGTCCAAGCAATGCTTCCAGGAGGCTGAATCTTCTTCCGTACCGAAGGAGCCACCTTCAACTGTTTTGACTCTTCAAAGAGCAGTCCTCTCTAAAGCACACCGAATGTGCAGGGAATGTGTCCCCTGTGCGATTCTGAGTGGCCAGTGTGTGGGCATGGCCTGGGGACATCAGTGGTGAGGCTGGAAGCACGAGGCAGCGAGAGTAGCTGGGGGTAGGGAGAACCCTGCTGCAGATATGACCAGGACACCGAGGTAGAACAAGAGGCCCTAGCGCACTGTAGAGCATGGGCTGTAGAATGGGTGCAAAAGCCCAAGAAAAGCTCTAAGGCCATGAACACCTCAGAGAAGTCTTCTCTACCAGCTCCAGCCCAACCAACAGCATAAATATGTAGATTTGGATGCTTTGGTTTCTGGGTCTTTGAGTGGTAGAGGTTTTTATAAAGCAGCATCATCTTCAACATCTATATATAATTCTGACTAAAAAACAATACAAAGGATCGATGAATCAAAGAGTCTGATCTTTGAAAGGATGAGAAGAGGACCTGGGGATGAGGAAGATGGGAGGGAGGAAAGGGAAACTAAAAAGGACTAAGATGGGATGCATGTACGTATCAGTTCCCCACAATTAATGTTTTTACCATGGATCACAATCATAATACTAATGAAAAATTACAAAACAAAAGATTGGTAGCTTGGAGGACAAGTCCCACATAAATTGGTTGCCCCAGTCCGTGCCTTGTCTCTGGTTTGTGCCTCTCCGTTTGCTCTGGAAGCATTCTGGTTTGGATGATAAGTTATATTGTCTCCCCTCTGGTTGAAGGTGACCCACAATGTCATGATGAGAAAGAGGGAGGAACAAGAATAAGCATGGTGGGAGATTCTTGGCATCCGAGTGACTTGTTTACTTGCATTTTGATGTGCAGATGCCTATTAGTACTTATATATAAAGGCTAGGAAAATTGGCTGGAACATAATCAAAGCCCTAGGTTCTTGGAGATATTTTCTGAAGCTGAGCAAAGGGGAGAGCCAGGAGTGAGCTGGTACCTTTCTGCACACCAATGAAAGCTGATTAACAAGCAAAAGTTTGCTAAAATCAAAGCAAATAGATAAATCAAATCAAGCTACTACTTAAAGCAAAAGAAGAGGTGGCACAAAAAGTGCAGTGCAGTCAATAGGGACAGATCAGGGGCTGGCAGGAAGTCGGCCTCGAGCCTGCTGATTTACCACTGCAGCACTGCCAAACCCAGAGCCAGGGAGCCCAACTGTCATGGAGACACCACTGGCAAGGCTGAAACCTCCATGTGTCTCCAGAGCTATTGTGCTCAATGATGCCTTGGTAGCTATGATGATCAACGCTTTTGGCTGAAAGGGTAAGATGTTCTGTATAGGAAAGACACCCCAAAAGCTGATGAGCTTCTCAGTAAAGCCATTAGTCCTGACCAGATTGGCAAGAAGCTGTATGTGTATGTGTGTGAAACTGAAGGAGAGAGTCGGATAGTCGGCATGGGTGGCAGAAAGAATAAGTCTAAACTTGGTGCAAGCCCCGTAGTGAAAGTGTTGCTTGCTCCCTGCAAACCTGAAGCTATTGCTTGGGCCCCTGTGTTGTCACTCTAGGTTCTGCTTGGCCGTCCACAAGTGACCGACCTGTCCCAGTTTTCATTGTGACCCGTGGTGGTTTTCACCCTGGAAATGAGCTGGCTGTGTAGGAGGTCTTGTCCTCCCTGTTGGAGCCATGACTTGAGGAAATCCATGCTCAGCCACAGGATGTCCTCAAGGGGAAATATGGTGAAGCCTCCTGTGTAGGGAATAAGAGGTATCTTGCTTCTCACACCCTAGATCGGGAATCAGCAAGGCTCTGTGGCTCTTGGGTCAAACCTAGCCAGCCCCTTATTACCATGTGGCCCTCCAACCAAGACTGGGGAAAAATCAAAGAATAACATTAATATAGAATAATTTACAATATGTCAGGCATTGTTCTGAGTCTTTGCATTTCTTGGCTCATTTAATCTTTCCAACAATGCTGTGAGGTCCACGCTATTCTCATTTTATACATGAGGAAACAAATGGACGCTTCCAGATAGGTTAAGTAATATTCTAAGATCAAACAGCTAATGATTACTTCCGCTAGAATTCAGATCCAGGGGTCTTTCTCAGAGCTTGCTCTCTTACCTGCTTCCCCATATGAAAAGTTATCCATCACTATGAGGGCAGAGGGTGAGATTTGGGTGGTGCGGGCCAGTGAGTTCACACGAGGGAAGTAACATGTCTCAGAGAGCCGAGGGAAGGTTTGCTAGGAATATGGGGCCACCTTTCCATCATGATGACAAGAATACTAATTTTGAACCCAATTAAGCAAACTCTTCGTCCCCCAAAAAGAGTTACATTCTTCTCATTATAGATCTAATGAAAGTTTTAAGTACCAAAAAAAATTCTGAATTATTATATTTTAATTTCATCAATAAAACATTTGTGGAAATTTTTCTCTCTTGTTTCTTAAGGATGTGCATAATAGCTTCATTTTTTTCCCCCTCTGAGCTCCTCGAGCCTGAATTATTTGCTGTCTGGAAAGGTATCCTGGAGTGTGCAGAACCTTGGAGGTACCGTGGAATGTGGTTTGGAAAACTGTGACTGTAACGAATGGCACAGACACTCCAGGTC